GTCCTTCTCCTCCTCCCTCTCCATCACCCTCATCTCCCTCCATAATGCCACCCTTTTTTCCCCACAGCACTTACAAGTTTCTGACTTGTTTTGTTTACTCACCCTGTTCATTTGTTTTTATCTGTCCTTTTTTGTCTAAACCCTATGAGAGCAGCAATCTTCCTATTTCAGGTGCCCTGAGTACCTTGAATACAGCTTGTGCTCCATAAATGTACTTGACATATCATAAGAGCATAATATTTGTTCAGCGAGTATTGTTGAATGAATACATGACCACAACTGGAATCCCCAGGTGGCAGTGCTTTTAAAGAATTCTCAAAATGGAGAAGAGCTGTCTTACTGCCAAATCTCTTGTCTGGTTAAAGCAGCAAAGACATGGCAATGGTCATAGGCAGCCCAGTGACAAAGACAAAGAAAGGCATGGACACTTGCTTCAGTCCTTGAGAACTGCAGCTCCCTGAAAAAGTCTCTGAAGACAAATAATTCTTTGATGCCTATAAAAGATGAACAGTATATACATTCTCGGTCAATTCTACTCCCTTCCCTCATTTTTAGCAACAAATGAAGTTCAGGGGCAAAGTCACAGAAAGAAACGAATGATAATAGATAAGTGATAGCTCTCTCCTTTGGGCTGTGTTCAAACCTCAAGCAATCAGTCTGGCAGTTCCCCAAAAGGTTAAATATAGAGTTACCATAAGACCTAGCAATTCCACTTCTAGGCATAGCCAAGAGAAATGAAAATGTATGTCCACACAAAAATGTGTACATGAATGTTTATAGCAGCATTATTCATAATGGCTGCAAAGTGGAAACAACCCAAATGTCTATAAACTGATGAATGGATAAACAAAATATGATATATGCATGAATGTGATATATGCATAAAATGAATATTATTCAGCAATAAAATGATATGAAGTACTGACACATGCTACAACTTGGATGAACTTCAAAACTATTATGCGAAGTAGAAGTCAGTCAGCCACAATGGACCACGTATTATATTTGATTCCATCTACATGAAATGTCTAGAATAGGCAAATCTAGAGAGGCAGAAATTAGGTTGGTGGTTGCCTGAAGCTGAGGGGTAATGATAGCAGTGGGTACAGGCTTTCCTTCCGGGGTAATAAAATGTTCTGAAAGTAGATAGTGATCATGGTTGCCCAACTCTGAATGGTGTACTTGGTAAAAAACTATTGAATTGTATACTTTAAATGGGTAAACTGTATGAGAGTTGAAATATATCTCAATTTTTTAAAAAAGCTCATGCAATAACCGAATCCTTCTGCAATCTGCAGAGGACAGGGGATGTTGGAGGCCCCTGTATGTGCCTTAAGGAAGGATAAAAGCAGCCCTGCCATGAAACATCCGGGGTTTTATGAGCGCTGACCCCGCCCCCTTACTCTCCACACTGGTTGCCTTGCTCCAACAAGCTTGCCTTAGGCTCCTTTTTAATCTCACACATTCAACAGACTTTTGCTGAGCACCTAGTGCATGCCAGGAGCTGTGTGAGGCACAGGACCTGCGGATGGAGGAGGAGTTTGCTTTGTCTACCACTTTCGTAATTATTCTTTTAACCACAGAGCAAGAAACAGCAAAAGGAGAGACCTAAGTGGTATTCTGTTGTGGGTTGTGGGCAGAAAAGAATTTTTCATTTCTGGTTCCAGAAGGGTGGACTCATGTCCACACCAAAAAAGCACACACAGGTCTGGTGAGCCAATATCTCAAAGGAGGGGTAGAGCAGAGTGTGGGGGGTGGGAGGGCCCCAGGAGTCAGATCTGACAGGAAGCTGAAGACACAACGCCCCCGGTGGGGGGAGGGGAGAGGAGCATGAACCAGTGCCAAACACTACCCTTAAATTCCATCTGGCAGCACTGTGGGTGTTTCCATTCTATTTATTTATTTATTTATTTTTTAAGGAAAGAGGAGGTGGGGGGAGGAGGGAGAGAACACAAGTTATTACTCAGCATTTCCATCACGTTTAATGTTTGCAAAGCACTCCTGTCCTCACTTAGTCCTGAACTGCCTGAAATAATAAAGGCATTTGAGAACCCAGCCAAGAACTCAAGTACTGAGCCGATAGATATAAGAACCTATCACTGCCTCTGGTAAGGTAGGCACTATTAAAAAAAATTAATCCTTGGATAGGAGACCACCTTGGAATACCAGGTGCTGTAGGCGAATAAATAAATTTTTAAAAACCAGAAAAAAAATTAATCCCATAAAATAAATACTATTAAAAAAATAAATCCAATATAATAATCTCTGTAAAGCTCACATGCCACTTGGTGGTGAAAGAGCTCAGTAAGCTCATGTTCTAAATCTTCTCATTCCTACCCTGACACATGTCCACTTTTACAGACCGGGCACTGTTGTCCTTCTTTGAGATGACAGAGTTCTACGGCTGGCACACCAAATATTTTATGGCAGCAATTAACAACTTCCTGCTGTCAGCACCTACAGCACCTGGATCACATTCAAGATGCAGCACTGATAAAGTGACAAGTTTTTTTTCATGATTGTCTATCGTTGGACCAGCACTTCAGGCGAACACACTGCTGTGTGAGATGTAATATGCAAAGAGCACTGTGGCTTTGGAACGCAAGTTCTGGAACATATTTGAAATGGATGTGTGCTGTGTGTCTGTGTTTATATTTATATTCAACCAAGCTCAGTGACCACTTTAGCTTGTCCGTAGGAACGCAATACCTTTAGAGATGTTCATTGGTCAACTGGGAGGCTACCTGGCAAAGTATAAACATTATGCACACTAAAAATTACTATTCATATGAGGACAAAGTGCTTTCATTAGCTACTTCGAAAAACATGGTGTCACATAAAAATGAAAAAAGAATTTTGAAAATGTATTTAAAAGACATTATTGACTATTTCAGATCAAATCTCTGCTCTTCTCTCCTATACTCTACAGGACAATTAGAAAAGCTTGGCACTACCACACACACACACGCACGCACGCACGCACGCACGCATGCAAGAGCTAACATGGTAAAGTGAAGAATTACCAAGTCAAGATCTAAAACAGACTAAAACTCAGAAAGATGAGGCCAGCATTTGGGGCTGTGTCTCTCTTAGAGCATCTGGTGAACTAAAGGAAGGTTCCTGAGTGGCTGAGCAGCATTTCTGATGGCCTTGCGGGGAAGGAGGACAAAAATGGGAGCTCTGGGACTGCCAAGGAGTTGGCTGTAATTTTGGGCAAAACAGACTAAGGAAAAAAACATTACTACAGATGAAGATAATGATAAAAGGTTTAACAAACAGGAATTAAATGTTAGAACTCTTTAATGTAATAATTCTAAAAATGTATGCACCTAATAACCGTTCTGAGAATATATAAAGTAAAAAACTGAAATCGTTATAAACCGACATAAACTGCAGTCACAGGAAGATTTAATACAGGTCTCTCAGTAACAAGAGAAGCAGAAAAAAGTTATCATATAGCAAATTTGAAAAAAAAAAATAACAGAGAAATCAGAATCTAATTATCCTCTATAGAACTTTTCACCCAACGATCCTAAAATATACATAAAATATACAATCTTTTCAAGCCCATATGGAAGAGTTACAAAAAACTGCACATATGCCTTTTACCTGTACGATGAAAAGATGTGTGTCCATAGAGACCCACTGTCGGGATTAATCTGGCCCCTGACAATGAGGTATGACCAAATAAGGTTTGAGGGGACTATGGTTTCAATATGCAAAGAAGTCCCCCAAAGATAACTAGATTGTCCTTAGAGTCTTGGAGACTTAAGGACGCCATGGAATCCACATTTGGCTGGAACTGAGATGGTGAGGATGAAAGGAAAAGAGAACAGAGTGGGGAGAGTCCGCAGAGCCCTCCCTCTCTTCTCTTTGCCCTTGGGAGATGCATGATAACACTTAGTGTTTTGCAGAAAAGAGAAGGATAATGCAAAACTCCAGCTCTCTGCCTAAAACTAAAGGCAGGCAGCAGTAACGGTAGAGTCTTCTGTGCAGTCAGGCAGACAATGTAGCTTTTCTATGGCCAAACCCTGCTTCCTTTCCTCCTGGCTTCCCATCTCTTTCTCCCCATTCTACATCTTCCTGTCCTGCCCTAGGAAGCCACATTGGGTTCTAGATGACCAGCTCTGCCATTCCACCATTACGAGCATTTACATGTGGGACCGGACCTTGCAAATTCAGCATTGCTATCCTAACAAGCCTTACCCTATGAAAAACTCTGCCTGATTCCCCACCCCTTCCCTGCCCCAATCTTCAGAGAATAAATGGGTCTTAAAGGCAGTGTTTTGCTTTCATCCTCAACTTGAGTGGCCTGGATACGTGTTTGTTGCACTCTGGGGGTTTGGGTTAGAATGTGGATACAGGGAGGAGTCATGCTTGAATTTAGAGAGCTTGTGCTGGGCTCAAAGTCTAGAAATGGGGTTGGTGAAGACTTGACCTGTGCTTTTCAGACAAACCAAGAATCCCGAGTCCTGCCCTACAGCCCACTCACAGATTAGCTGGAACCACCTCCCTAGCCTGACCTAGTTGCAGGAAATATACCAGTAGGCTTTCTGGATCAGCTGCAGCCCTGACCTAATTCTCTGAAGGAATCTCAGCAACCCCAGAAAGTCTCTCCCTCATTTCTCCCCCAATCTGGCAACATTTAGTGCTGAGTAGAAAGAGCCACTTAATCAGCTTCCTTGGCCCTCCCGCCAGCCCCGTGTCCCAAGTGTCTCTCCCAAGCCAGAACTATGTCGGATCCTCTGCACTCAGTGGTTGGACCCAACATATTCACATACTTTGATTCTGGTGTCTGGGCATGTGTGCACTCATGTACTCAGCTGGCTGTTTTGAAATCGCCCTGAGTATGAAATTGTATAATAAGTCTTTCCTGGATTTTCACCAGCACCCCTTCAGGAAGTAAAGCATGTTGATGTTGGCTCTAAGTGCCTTATTAATAAGTAACTTCCACTGTTTTTCCCTTTTGCCCCGTCTGGCAGAAGGCCATCCAGACTCACCCTCATACATCTCCAGGATGTGAACCGTGTCTCCGATCTGAAGGGAGAGCTCCACATCTTGAGAGGCATTATAGTTATAGATCGCTGGAAACGAGAAAGAAAAGGGGAAATGGCATCAATGGCAGTTAAGATATATCATTAAATAGCACATTCTGTGGTTAGTGAATTACTTAATCAACAAATTGCCCTCTACTTAATGATTTCACGTGAGTCACCCACAGTAAAGCAGAGAACGTCTTCCTGGACCCCCCTGCCTGGTGCTTTACATTCTTCCATCCAACACATACTGCTTGGTTGATTATTATGAACCACATTCTGTGTTAGAGGCTAGTAATAGAGTTATAAAACACACAGACATGGTCTCTGTCCCAAGGATTTTTATAAAAGATATTAAACATATTATCACAGAAATAACTATTTAATTAAAGTTATAAGAGTTATGAAAGAAAAAAACAGGCTACGATGAGAATATAGTGTGGGGTTCCACTGGTTGGTTCCTTTGTTCATCAGACAACAGCCAGACTTCAAGACCACTGAGCTTACGATCTCTAGGACATAGGGTGGGCCATCTTCCAGCTTTCCTGACACAGTGATTGGCAGCCAAAGGGCCACTTGTGGGTCCTACCTACCCTCCAATAACAGCCTGACATAGAGTAAATGCCCCAGTTCTAGGCATCCTAGGGAACTGGGTTGCCGCGGTACTTCTTCCTGAAGGTGACCTCAATCACCACAGACCTTAGGACCGGCGATGACTGGGTCAGACTGTGAAAAGCAGGAGACTAAAACTCTTATCATTCAAAAAGGCAACTCGATTTTCAGATGTGTAAGAGCTCTGAAAGGACATTTGACCAAGAATCACATCCCATGGCTAATAAGCACAAGAAACAATGCTCGGCGGCATTAGTCATCACCGAAATGCAAATCGAAACCACAATGAGATACCACTTCACACCCATAGGCCATAATTTTTTAAAGGCTGGCAATTGGCAAGATTGTGATACAACTGAACCCCTCACACATTGCTGGTAGGAATGTAAAATGACAGCCTCTTCGGAAAAGAGTTTCGCAGTTTCTTAAAAAGTTAAACATAAATTTACAATATGATCCAGCAATTCCACTCCCAGTTATCTGCGAAGAGAAATGAAAACATGCCTACATACACACACACACACACACACACACACACACACAAACTTTATGTGAATATTCATAGCTACTGCTGAAAAATAGACCCCCAAAAGAAAATCCCCATCAAATTTCTGGAACCTGTGAATGTTAGTTACCGTGTGTGTGTGTGTGTGTGTGTGTGTGTGTGTGTGTGTGTGTGTGTGTGTGTGTCGGGGGGGCAGGGTCAGGGAGAAGTTTTAGACTGCCAGGGTGGGCCCTAAATGCAATCACATGTATCCTGATAAGAGACAGGGAGTTGAGAGGCACAGAAGGGAAGCCGATGTGAAGATGGAGGCAGAGACTGAAGTAATGTGACCTCAATCGAGGGCTGCTGTAACCACCAGAAGCTGGAAGAGGCAAGGAACGGAATCTCCCCTAGACCCTGTATAAGGAGCGTGGCCTGTCCGCATCCTGATTTCAGACTTCTGGTCTCCAGAACTGTGAGAGAACACATTTCGATCGTTTTAAGCCACTTAGTTTGTAGAAACTTGTTAGGACAGCCACTTCTGTGGCTGTACAATATAGCGGCATTAGTCACAATAGCCCCAAACTGGAAACAATTCATCAACTGAAGAAGGAACGGATAAATATAGTGCACTCATACAATGGGATATTACTCGGCAATAAAAGGGAATGAAATAGGAACACATGCTACAACATGGATGGACTTTCAAAACATTTTGCTAAATGAAAGCCATATGCACAAAACATATTTTCGGCTTCCATCTATTTTCAATGTCCAGAACAGGTAAATCTATCAGGGCCAGTAGATTGTTGGTTGCCTAAGGATGGGAATGGTGACTGAGGATAATGGGCACCGGAAGTTTTGGGGGGTTGACAACATCCTAAAACGGGACTGTGGTATTGGTGACTCAACTCTGCAAATTTGCTAAAAATCACTAAATTGTATACTTAAAATGAGTTGATTTGATGGCATGTAAATTAGACTTCAATGAAGCTGGTTTTTAAAAAAGTAGATTTCTTGTCATTACTCTTACGATGAGTAAGTAATCTGCATCCTTCCAGGGAAATATAACCACCTGAGAGATTCAGTTCTAGCCATTTACCTGACAATCCAAGGAACCCACCTTGTTCCCCGTCTCGCAGCTCTGACGAGGACATGAGGAAGGTCACCGATCCCTCTGCCAGATCCCGCAGGGGTCATTAAAAAGGGCAACTTGGGGCAAGGTGCTTACCCCTTCTGAGTCTGTTTACTCATTAAACAATGTGGTACGTGGCATCCACTCCACTGTCCTGTCTGCCAATTGCAGGTACTTATTGTTCTTCCCTGGGCCTGCACTGCATACTGTGTTTGCAGCTTGGCCATAGGTTTTTCCTTATATCACAGTCATTACATCAATGAGTGAATGGGAAGGAGCACACCTCCAGGCACATCTTTTTCAAGCAGCCTCTCTTTTTGAAGGGAATCACCCAAATAGTTTTCTCCTGTAGTCTTGGCACAGAAGCCTGGACAAATTATGTCAAAGTTTATTTACTATTGAGTTAATGTTCTAGACTATAAATTCAGAACAAGGATTGACTGATTAAGTAGGTTAGGCGAAGATGCACAGAACTCAGAAGTAGGAGTTAGTTCCAATCTCTGGACCTGTTTAAGGGCCACCAGACCACAGCTGCTACCCCACTGAAGTTCAACTCCTTTATCTAACTAAGAGTTGACTCAAATGCTTTGCCCATTAAATATATAGCTGGTTTTCTACAGAAAATGTAACTCTCACATCCTTGAGTCCTCCTAGTCCCCATTCACTGCCTTCCACTGAACCGGTTCCTTCTACTGGTCCTGCGTTCAGATAGAAACAGGAAGTAGTGAGGTTACAATGTCACAATGGGTTGTGTAATGACCGAACTTCATCTCTTCCCTGTTCTTAGTTATCAGGAAAGTAAGCAGAAGCTCTCAAAGCCAGCATCTAGCTCCAAGCACAAACACCTATCAAGAACTGTTGTGCACATACACATGCACACACAAACACACACACACACACACACACACACACACACACACACACCACAGACCATAGAGGAATCTGTTTCCTTAAGTCCTAGGTCCTAAATCTGATAACCAAAGTGCTCCAAAAATAATCCCAGCCTTAATTATCCACTTTTGCTTCCATTACCTGTCAAATTCCACCCTCTGCTCCAGTTAAGAATCTTATATTCTCCCCTAAATTCTGTGTTCCACCTATAGTTTATTCCTGCCTGGAACAATTTACCTTTTCTTTATGTAACTCCAAAGCTCACATTCACAATTCAATTCAACAAATGACTACGGAGTCTCTAGTACCCTAGTATTATCTGCCACTGATCAGAAAGTAAACCCTTCACAAATGGGGACCTAGTTACACATTACTTTTGTCTTTCACATTTCATGGCACTGGATTAGACCCAAAGAAGGTCCTTAAGGCACACTAGTAACTTTTATAAAATCCACCAATCGATTCAGTTATTCACCACTTCTTTCCCAAACTCCAACATACTTCTGTTTTCCTCAGAAGGAGGAGCCATGGTTCTCCACCACTCGATAAAGGAAAATATCAAAATTGCTTCTTTGTCTTATTATGCAATTGAGAATCTGCCTTCCCAGCCCAAGCTTTCAAAGAGATCCCCATGGGAAGAACATCCCTTCAACAATGGCTTTCACTGCTGTGAAAAGTCACTGGTCAGAGGATATTAGTATTGTTTCATGTTTTGGGCAGAAGTATCAACAAGACTTACAAACAGTTGCAGCTGTCATCTATTCATTCCAACTATGCACATTAGAACTGTGCCCTCTTCAGTCCCCCTGAGTACACCTCACTTCTACTGTATTGTATGGCTTCATTTCTATATATAATATAGTAACCGTATGGAGTGGGTACCACATACCACATTATTTAATGAGGAAACTCAGACTAAGAAGGGGTAAGCACCTTTGCCCTAAGTATCCCAGCTTTACAAGCAGAAAGGCTATAGCTAGCACTGGTCCTGTGATGGCCCATTCATCATATTTTGCCACATTGGTCCATAATGGTGAAAAGTATGCCCTGGAATAGCCTGGAAACAAAAAGAAGAACTTTACAGATTCTCAATATGTTGCCTTTGATTTCTCTCATTAAATGAGAATGCAGCTTCTAAAAACAAGCTTTATGGTACAAATCAATGGCTGGTGATCACACTGTGAATCTGGTGCGATTTCAAGAACAGGCATACAACTGTGTGGATCATGTTTTCTCCCTGGGATGTGAATAACTACTACAAAGACAAAGAAGGAAAACAAAGGAAACCCTCAAGGTTCAAAGGACAGAACTGAAGATCAACTCTGCCACTTAAACATGCATAACTTTAAATGAGTTGCTCAGTCTGGGCCTCAGTTTCCCATCTGTAAACTAGGCATTGGACCAGATGACTCTAAGGGTCCCCATGGCTCCAACAGCCTCCGATTCATGAGATGATAAGAGGCAAGAGAAATGAGTTGCGTCGTTCTGAACTAGCAGGCATCACCACAATCTCTTGTTTTGTCTGAGGAAATTAAACGAGAACAGGGAGTTGCTGTATATAAATCGTCGTGCTGGCTGCTATGTGCAAGGTTGAGGAAGACGAATTGCTGGAATTCTTCCCTAAGCAGCTTACTGTTTATATCACAAAAGTGTAATTTTGCAGAGCCAAGAAGACTAGACAGTATGTCCAGAAATGTAAAATAGTTTGTATTTACCAGATCTTTAAGTTTGCCTTTTTTTAAAAAAAAAACCAGGCTGATGAGAGGGAAAAAAATTTGAGGTCTTAGGCTTATGCAACAAGAAACCAACAGAATAGACTTATAGGACCCAAAATGAGGATTAGTTCTGATGATGAAAAGTCTGTGGCCTACTAGTATTTACTCTAATAAATTAGGCTCTTTCATGAATTCTCAAATTACAACCCTTGAAGAATAACTAAAACACGATGTTATCTATTAGTCTTTTGGTAGAATCTAACAAAAGATCCAGCAAACACAGAACAAAGTCCCAATTTGTGTTATATACTATTCAGAACATTAAAAGATGATCAAACTTCATCTTTTTCATTATTATATTAATCTTCCTACATTCGGCCATTGGAACTATATAGAAAATAAAGGGCCCTACATAGCTCATCGTTTATCTTCTCTGTAGATTTAATGCAATTAGAAAACCACTCGGGCTTTCTTTTACTCCAAATCAATAGAAGGTCTGATGCCAAAAAGTAAAAATCTATGGTTTTACACTGATCATTCCAATAAGGCTCCAAACTAGGCTTTTTAGGTTGAGATGACCACCACATTCCATCTCTATTCAGAACTTTCCAGGCCAGGAGCTAGCAGATGAGGACCTTTGCTTATAATTTCCACCATCAGTCCACAGGAGGATGTTCATACAAGATTCTTAACTTCATTCTCTAGACTGTTTAGGAGGTCAGAGGATTTAATAACCCAATTATTGATTATTCTTTAGAAATCTCTATTTTAAGCATTTTATCTCCTTGTGGATGAAATCAATAAATATCTTTAACGGGAGAGATTTCACAGACGTAAACTCGAGTACAGTTTATTTATTTCCTCACTAGTACCAAATGATTACTATAAGTCATGTCATTTCAATTAATATGAAATTAAATTTACATGAATTATTTAAAGGAGAAAGGCTAAAATGAGGCAACTGAAAATTACAAAAAAGTAATTATAGAACAAAAAAGTCTATGTTCTACAAATGCGGGGAGCTTTTTCCCACAGCTTCCCCATCTAAAAAAATGGCAGCAATAGTACATTCTTCACATGGTTTTGTGAAACCAAAGAAAAGGTATGCAGTGCTCCCAAGACGATGACTAACACCTGGTGGATACTGAGTCAATGTCAGTCACCTTCCCCTTTCTCCTTCCCTTTTCTTGCCCTGTCCAGCTTCCCACTTTGAGCACGGTGGCACCCACATCCGCAAAGACTGACACTACCATCCTCACCACCAAGTCAGTGGAAGTCAGTCAGTGAAAACGAGGGACCAGGAAGGACTGTAGTGTTAACAGAACAAGCTAGTCTCAATAGTCCTTCTATGATAAAGGTTGTTGGACAATGAAATGCAGGTGTCCTTAAGAACAGTAAAGCTATTTTACTGCGGGCGACTAGGTACAGAGCTCCCCTAAGAAGCAGCATGAGAGTCAGTGAATATTTTAATATTTTAACCATTTTCTTGTTGCCCCTTCTGAAGGATTTCTGCAGTGATTCAACTGAGGTACTAGAGTGTTATTCAGAATACTAGTGATGCCTCAATCATGGACACACTGTAGTATTCTCAGTCTGGATAAGACATTAGAGGTGCACATTCTAATGTTATTCGTGACTATAGTTCCATTCGCTTCTATACTTTTCAACTGATCTCTTTCTTGTTAAGGAAAAGTAAAAGAGAAAAAAATTTGAGGGCAACTGAGGCAGGATTTTAATGATGAAGTAAAAAAATCTAACTTTCTAACAAGCTCAGAACACCTTCCCCAATTGAACAGGTATTATTATCAGGTTCTTCCTGGTAGATGTTCTTATTAAATTAAAATTAAACAGTTAAGATAAAAATAGTCAGATTTAAGACTGTGTTGCGTCCACTGTGTCTAATTTATAGACAGAAATCATAATTAAAGAATAGCGAATCTGAAGATAAAAGCCACAGATTATCGTGGAATCTAGAACAAGTACCTTGAAATGACAAGGAAAATGTCAGTGACTATTTTCTCCATACATACATGAATTTGAGACAAAAAAAACAGTTCTCTGAGAAAAGAAATGATCCCCAACCAAGCTGCAAAACCCATAATTTACAATCATCAACCTGAAAATGCAAATAGAGCAGCAGCAGCTTTGGACCTGCACTCAACATCTCAGCAGGGCCTGTCCTGGGACAAGTTAGGCCAGTTGCCCTTGCCCCACAGATCATCTTCGGGAGGGGCTTAGAACTGCACCCAGCTTCTTCAGTATCATATACACTAGAGCCGCTTCCTACTGCAAGCACAGTGAGAAAACAGAATGTATGTGTGTGTGGCCACGAGGGAGGAGGGAACGAGAGGAGCAAACAGCTGAGAAAGCAAGAGACTGAAGGTATCTGGAAAATCACTCACATCCCCTTGTTCCA